GGGCTCTTTGCTCTTGATTCTCAAAATAAATCTGGTTAAAAGCCCCCAGTAACAACCATGCCACTGCCCCAATATTTGGCTGCCTTGAAATTTCTTTTTCAAGATTAACTGGTCCACTGTGCTTAATTTCAGTCTCAGGCAAAGTCTCTGGACAGGAGCAAAATGCAGACAAGCCTTCTGCCAACCCATAACACAAATCATCCGCAGTGCAACAACCAATGCTGTCCTTCTTTCCAGCAGAAACCTCCCCAGCCTTGTCTTTACAGGCCGGCTTTCCATCAGCCTTCTGGTCTTCTGCGCTCTGGCCAGAATCTCCCATACAGAACAGCCGAAGCTGATCTAGTGCTTCACGTGTAGGCGACATCTCTGAACCTTTCCTATCTCTTCCCATAAACCAGTCCCAAAAGCTTGTAATCCACATTGTCAGGTATAGCCACAGCAATGACTCCATTCCTCTGGTACCAAATTCTATCTTAGTTGCTTTTTACTCGTTGCTGGGACAAATACCCAACACTCAAAATGAAGTAGGGAAAGGTTTATTTAGCTCACAGTTACTGGAGGGTTCAGTCCATATTCTGCTGGCTCCAAGGCAAACAACAGCAGTTCATGCGGCAGAAGCAGCAGAAAACAATGAAGAGCAGAGGAGGAGCAGCAGTTGCAGCGGCGTCCATCAAGCCTCTCTCTTCCTTCTGCGCTGACTGCAAAGACCAGCGCTCCACAGTGAAGATCGGAGCTCCTTCACAGTGGTGTGGCCACAGTGATCAAGCCCTCTGAAGACTGAGATTTCTCCACAGAAGGAAGCAGAGCGGGGTGCAGGAAACCAGGCAGGGCGGCTTCCTGCCTTTCTCAGTTCCTGGGCCCTGCCCACCTGCAGAGCTAGGACCCCATGCTGAGAGCTGTGGAGCTGATTCAGCCAAGTTGACACAATGTATCAACTAACACACATGGACAATACTTAGGCAATCCCACAGGGTTCCATGAACTGTGCCAAGACTTCTGGTGGGCACACAGACTGTCCCAATAACGGAGGAGCACGATCCTGTCATATGGAGGAAGAGAGAATCTCTATGCATGCTGTGGTCAGAAATTCAGCTTCTGGGTTTACACTGCAGAGAAACTCCGTGCGTGCCGCAGGAGACAGAAGAGACAAGTGCCTTTGCAGAACTGTCTTTCTGAAAGCAAGAACCTCGCCCTGTGAAAGGCAGACGGCATGCTGAGCCCCAGGCCCTTACACATGAATTGTTTTTCTCAACTCCGGACGAATATAGTATTTGCTCTTCATTTCTGTGTTCTGAAATTTATAATGTCCCTTCATGTGGGTTTGTATTTGTTTTCCTTCAAGTGCCTCATTTTCTCTGTTCTCTTACTCCGTGACTCCTTGCTGTCCTGCATTGATCTCCCTGGTCACGCTTCTAGATTTCTGTTTCTCTCGGTTTCTTTTCTTTATTTTTTAAAATGCATTTGGTACAGGGTCTCACTATGCAGCTTGGACTCCTAGTGATCTTCCTATTTTCAGTCTTCCCAGTGCTGGGATTACCGGTGTACTCCAGCTCAGCATGCCCTGGGGGCAGGGCCAGTGGGGCTTGCCGTGCCAGGGATGGAACCACGGTCCCTGTGCTTGCCTAAACAGGTGCTCAGTCTGCTGAGCTTTCTCCCTCGTCCTCTGTTTCTTTTCTATATGCTTTATTTTCTCTTTACTTTTTATTATCATTGATTTTCTCAGTATTAATCTTGAAATCTTTTGTTAAGTCTGAAAAAATTCCCCTATTATATATGCATTTTGTGAAACCATTTTCCATTTCTTTTTTCTTTTCTTTTCTTTTTTTTTTTTTTTTAATTCTTGGGGGCCTGCCCATTAGCTCAGTGGTTTAAGTGCCTGCTTAAACGCAGCATTCAGACTCAGGATGCTGTGGTTCAAATCCAGATACTCCTGCCAAACCAGAAATGCCCTAAAGGCATCTTGGAGTGGCCCCCCCAAAAATTCTTCCTGTCTTATTTTGTGCAAGAAAAAGCTTTTGAAATTTACTTCTGACTCTTTAGCACATTTTTTTTTTTCTTTGAGTTCCATCTTTTGTTCGTATATTTATTTTGGTTTCTATTTTTCAATTTTGAGTCTTTTCTTAGATATTGAATGTCTTTGGTTATTCATTTACATTTAAGAGTGAGATGCAAAACTAATTCTACTTTCAAAGCTCTGTGTGTGTTGATCGGGCTCTGGGGATCTGCCCTGCTTGTTTCCTATGGGTATTCCTATTGCTAGTGTATCTGGGAGCTAGCTCAGTTTGCCTAGAACAGAATGCCCCAGTCTCTTGCTGGAAAGAATATTCTGGTTGTTTCTATTCTAGGAGTTAGTGTGAGAATAGGTGAGGAGCTTCACCATTCGCTGTGTACGTTTCCATGGTGACATGTGCTTACTTGTTTCCAGCACCTGCCTTGCTGTGTCCTTACCTGTGGTTTCCATCCAGTCCTCTTTGGAGGTGTTTCTCTCTGACAAGGATGCAGAGAGGAAACTACTTTCCTGGGAGGAGAGAAAGGAAATCTGGGCTTCTTCTCTCTGCTGCTCGCAGACTGAGAGTCTTTCTTTCCCTGTTCCACGCCACCCAAGTGTATTTCTTCAGAGGTGTAGTTTGTCTTTAAACTCAAAACTCTCCTGTGGCCAGAATCAGCTTGCTTCTCATTGGCCTACTGAGGCTCTCTCCACCCTGCAGCTGACTTAAAGATTAAAAATCCCTTAGCATTTTCAACACGTTCAGACATGGAATGATCTCTGTATGTTCTGAAATTAAAAAGGCAACTTTAATTTCTGTGATCTTATGCTTCCATGCAGACTTACATATACACCCCTTTTATAGGTGTACCGCTTGTATGTGTATTTGTAACAACAAGGGAAAACTGTGGCATGTACGTAGTAGTCTTCACTGTTATCTCTGGAACCTAGTCTGAAGAAGGTATGACCTTCATCTTTTCCTGCTTATTCTTCTTTATGTTTCTAAGTAGATATATTTACACTTCATAATAATTATTGTTGGAAAGCTAAGTAGCAGACACTAATAAAGAATTGTTGGATAACTTTTTTTTTTTAAATCAAGGGAACAAACTAAAGAAAGTCAGTTGTTAGCCTAGGAAACTGGGCTTTGACTGTCATGCTTTGTCCTTTATTCTGTGTTATCTGACCACGCATTTCATCTCTGTGGACCTCTTATTATTTCTTTGTAAAGTGGTGGTAATAAACACTGAGGCTACCTGGGAGAGCCAGTCACTGGCAATAAATGAGGAGGTGCTGTTGCCCTTTAGGCTGCCTTTGGGCACAAGAATACTAGCAGAGCCAAAGGGACACACCCACCGCCACTGGGAGGCCCTGTCCTTCTCAGAGATGCTGCTGCTGAGTCTCTTCTGTCTATAAAACATCTTGGGCACAACGTCATCGCCAGGCTTCCTCATGCCCAGTTCCTCATGGTGAACTCATTGTTCTGAGGCATGGGAAGAGCCTGGATGGAAAAGCCCAGGGTTTGGCTGTGTCCATTAAGATTCTCAGAGCAATACATCTCGTCCTGAGTCAAACAGCAGTCATTTTTATCCTACTTATGTATTTTATTTTAAAATAATGTTTTCCACAGAGGTCAGAAAGCTTAATCCTTTTGATTACACACATAGTTTAAGAAGGATGAATGAAATATTGTCAGACTTCTAAGAAACATAAAAAGACAGCACTATGGCATGGTAGCGTGCGGCCGGTAGACTGAGGCACAGTGATGAACACAAGCCAATCATTTGCTCGCAAACACATTTTTCCCAGTGTACGTTACTGTTCATGACACTGAAATTCAGACTTAAAAGGCGAAAGGACAATAAAGTGATTTAACAGCAGAGAAAGATCTCATGCTTCCTGAAACATGCATGAAGTGTAATAGTAAACCTTTAAGCAATACTGGAGCAGAGAACACTTTTTTTTTTTTT